CAGTCACAGTGATGTTAAAAAAATTTATGCCAGTGCCAGTGGGAGATAGGGGTTGTCCACTCTATTGTACACAGCTATGGCCAGCTATGGGGCGTCACTATACACACACAGAGGTGTAGCATATGTGGGAGTAGTATCCTTTGAACCTGCACAACATATCGTACACATCAGCACTGTGTTGATTGCATATGATGCACTGGAAATGACTTTGCATCAATGCACCCTAATCACTGTAGCTGGAGGGTGATATCAAAGCTGTCGGTAAGTGGCCACTTCCATCAGTTCCTAGGCTCCAGAAGGTGATGATAGCGTACTATACCTACACACTGTTGGTGCCGTATAATGTTGCTGCACTGAGGCCCAGTGTATGCACCTCCTGTAGTGTAGGTGGTATATATACACCGTGGGAGGGAGCTGGTCTGTGTGTGTTTGAGATATCGGGCCTATGCATCCAGAGGTATGTGCAAACCTGGACTGGGCTGTGCAGGTTTTGTGACACCAACAGCTAGCTAGACTCAGGCTGTGTAAGCATCCCAGTGCACCGGCAACTGCAGCTAAGTGGACAATGTGTAAGAGAAATTGCTCAGGGATTGGTGGGAGTGTGACAGAAATTTGAAAGAACAACCTAACTATTATTCATCTCTTTGGTGTACACTGTGACCATGGTAACCACTGTGTTGGGCTAACACTTGGAAGCCTAGTTGCTGGAATTCTTTTGCACTAGCAGTCCATTGTTGCCTTTGTTGGTGGTGACATGTTTGTATTGCTTCCTGAAATTTCATCAGAGGATAAGACATTTGAGGTTAATGTTGACAACTTGTTTTTACTCTACTTTTAGTTTTGAAACTCTTGGTACACTGTATTTTCATCAATCCTGTATTTTTACTTACACATTCTGTGTGAATTGAGCCTCTTTTAGTTCAGAGTGTTTAATTAAAAACTGCATCTGGTGCACAATTAAAACCTCACTGCTATTTGTCTAGTTGATATAGTAAAGAATTTCATGAGAACTAAGTGTTACATCTCAAAAAACATTTTAGAGTGATTCATAAGCATTTGACAACTGTTTCAAGCAGTAGCTATATACCATAGCATTACTATGCTATAGCTAATGCAGTCTTGTCTAGATTGAGATTCCTTGGTACACTAGGTTTTCATCCGCCTCACACTTCCAATTCTCTTGTCTGAATTGAGAACCTCTTTTGGAATACAGTGTGTATCATCAAACCACTGTATTATGTACGCCTAGACAACAGAGTGTCTTTGGTTTGAATCCCACCTAGGGCAGCTCTTCTCAAAACAGTTGTCCTGGGTGTAGTTGACTTGTTCCTATGCCTTTGCCTTTCTTACTTCACCTTGTTGTTGACACATTCACTCGTTACATGTTTATCCGGAAGAGAAAAGAAGGTTTCATGAAAACTAAGAAGCTTTCATCATCAAAGCTATAGATAAACACTAGTGCAACTGTGTTCTGTGTGCTCTAGGTTCACACACTGGGCAACACAGATTCTCAGATTTTTTAAGTGTCAATGCTATATACCTCCTCATTCCCCAGATCTGGTTCCAAAACAGGAGGGCCAAGAAGCGGAGAAAGAAGAAGCGGTTCTCTGAGGAGGAGAGGATGAGGAAGGACCCTGAGCCTCCTCCATTCTGGCCCAGTAACCTTCCATTCAGCAGCAACCTTGGAGGTGAGGACTAGCACCCGCCGTGGTTGACTCTGTGTCAATGTGGCCTATTGCTCTGGAATATTTTTGGGTCCCACTGCATGCTGGTGTCTGCATACGACAACTACAAAAGGTAATGCAGCTTTTTTGGATGCTGCATTACCTCTTGCAGTTGTGGAATGAGCTGATTGTTTCTACTCACTAAAGGTTTTAATTCTTACTGTATACAGTACATTTTAGGATTGATAGTATGAGCTATACTCCTTGTTTAGATCACCTTACTCACTATTTTGGAGCTTGAGCTTCCTTTTTAAAGTATGGTGCATGTATTTCACCCACTAACCTTAACACTGTATCTTTATGTAGACATTTCAACGAAGTCCAAGAAAAACACTGGCAAACCTGAAAGGCCAGGATTAGAGACTAGCGGTAGGGGTCCCCCCTCCATCACCCCAGCGAAAGCATCCAAGCAATCCCCGCAAGACTCACATCTACCAAAAGACTACACACCTCCCCCCACCTTTTCCCCCTCGTCCCTCCCGCCCCTCAATAACAGACCCACTAATAACCTCACCCATGATGCCGGGAGACCGTCACACCTCCCTTGCAATGCTAGTGCTCAAGACCCACCACTCAAGTCACCGTCTCAAGCTGGTACTCCCGGCAATGGCCACTCCCAGCTACCCAAACCTCCTCCATACACTCCCCCCATCACAACCTCACAATCACCACTCTGTCAGCTCCGCCCTAATGATGACATCACACTCGACGACCAGAGAGGTTGTCCTGACTCCACCCGGTGACCTGACAATGCAAAACTTTCCAGCCGCTCCCCCCACCAGGGAGCATTCTGTCTGGGAACTATGAGGATCCTACCAGTTTCCTCACGTGCAGCCTGGCACCACCAGTGTATGACCCAGTGGTTTCTCTCTATGGTGGCAGCGTCATGCTCCCCCCTCCCCCCTACTCGTTTGGCTCGTCTTCCCTCTCGTCCACCAGCATTCCTCAGTCTTCATACGCACCAGACCACCACTCCACCAATAACAACAACCTCTTTATCGCCCCTCAGTCCCTCAGTAATAGCAGCAGCAATAGCAACCTTTCAAACCCTCGCCTGAAGCTCCTCCCCTTGACCACCGAGAAGACCACCTCCGGACCCTCCTCTCTCTCCCCCTCCACCCTCTCCCCCCTCACCAACTCTGATTGCAGCCCCTCCCCCATCACCCAAGACGTGCCCCTCCTTCTCCCCTCCACCCTACCCTCCGAGAGAAACTTCTCTCTGGCCTCGTCCACCCGAGGCAGCGTTGGAGGCCGGAGCTCCACCGGGATCTCGTCCCCCATCCATGCTACTGATCCTGTGGTCCTCCACGACCTCCAGGGCGACTGGGACTTCCTCTCTCGTTCGGCGTTCCCCGTGGTCCAGACCGACCACGAGATTTGGGCCGCTCCAGGCCACGCCAACACTCGCCCAGGGTTCCCTCCTCGTAGGAAATCCGGTCCTGGAACCAGTTCACCCGGATCCCTGATGTCAGCAGGGACTCTGTCTTCTTCGCAGCTGTACTCTGGGGTGTACGGGGCAGAGTATCTACCACCATTCACCTCTGATCCAGTGACAGGCCTTGCTGGTTTTGCTGCTGTGACTAGCATCTCAAACGGAGCCAACTAAGATTGCCACACCATTGACTGGCTTGATTAAAGGGTCGCACCCCCTTCACTACTGGGTTTTTGCAGTATCTTATATCTCAATTGTATACAGTCCACTCTGCTGTGCATAAAATTAATATCATTCTTGATGTAATCGTTATAGCTGTGTATTGTAAGTTGATGTATTATGCAATGTGTCAACATGTTATGGGTTTTAATTTGCACCACAAAGATGATAGTGTTGCGCCACCTTTTGCAAACGGACACAACCACCAGCATTATGCTTGCATCGATCCATGCATGATGTAGAGCAAAGTATTCCTGGGGGGTTATCACACTACTGTAGGTCTCTGTTTATAATATGCAGGTCTTTATTCATTGTAGCTGGCACGAATGACCATGGTAGGCTTATTACAAATTAACCTTTGTACTGTCAATCTAGCCACCCAATTATGTAACGATGATCTAGCTATAATATAATAGCTACGCAGTTTAGTTATTCTACGTCCAGGAAGCAGGAAGTAGTGTTGCTCGACTGCTACGTTTTCATCTACCGACGGACACCCTGCAAATCTCCATTCATCACGAAGCTTTCTGGAATATAACAACATCCAGTAAAGCGGAGTTCAAGCCCTCCCAACCTGCACTAAGAGGAGTCGCCTTCACCTATAGTATTTCCGCTTACTCCGTGTAGTATTGCAGCTACCACGGTGATCTAAGATCCGACACGTCTAACCCCACATACGCATCAGCGTTTGGACTCCCTCCTTGCTATGGGCGTAAGTGTTATGCTGTCAGCGCCATCCCGGATTGCAAACCGGATGTCCTGTTACCCAACGTTATACCACACGCACGCGCACAACTCCTGTGTAGCTGTGTACGTGTAGCGTCCTCTGTATTGCACGAGAATTCGAGAATGTAGTTATAATTTTACGTAAATTTCCAAGCCTAACGAATAGTCGAATGAGAAGCAGAGTGATTATCAATTGGCTGGCTACATCTATCTGACAGCGCAGCGCATTTCCACGTCTCTGTGCTAGCGCGTGTCTCGTTCGTCGGTGTTGAGCAGGGGATCGAGGGCAAACGTCCTTAACATTATACGCATGCGCAGTTACATTGCGTACCTAACTTCTGCCCCCTACTAATGATCTACTAATGATGGATCTCTCGACAATTCCTACGGGTCCGCATCCGCTCGTCACCGAACAAGCTCAACATAATCATTCTAGAGAACCATGGACTAGACGGGCGTACCGGATACTGGTGGCTGCGGTTCACCTTCGACTATGAGCTTGAGAAAGGCATAGAAATCAGACTCACCAACTTCAAGTACGGATCCCGCGGATCCGTCCCGTGGACGCTGGAGGTGGTCAAGTGTAGTTATCTGGGCATTGCCACTGCAGAAGAAATGGCGTCGTTTGATATGGAAGACGAGCTGGTCAACGCCAAGGAATTGGCTCGCCTTCAGCAATGCTCCGTGAGCTCCGAGAAACTCCGTCGCTACCTGGAGATTAACGTTGTCCCTCTCGTTATGAAGAAGATTAAGTACACCAGGTTCATGCCGCAGTTTCGGTTCTTCCTCAGCCACAAGTCTAGGGACAAGCCACTAATGCGTACCTTTGAAGAGGGGTTGAGTTTTCTGGGTTATTCCACATGGATCGATGCAGCCAACATGCCTTTGGGAGCTTCTCTTACGGCTGCCCTCAAAACCTCCATCGACAACTGTGACTGTCTCATTGCCTGGCTCAACGCAGAATACCTTGCGAGTGAATACTGCAAGGCCGAGCTGCTCTATGCCAAGAGCCTTGGTAAAATCATCATACCGTTTGGAGTCTACAGTGAGATTAAGGAGCTGCTAGTAGGAGACTTTGAGTTCGTGCAACACCTGTTTGTCGTCAACCCAGTGTCTATGTCATTCTTTGAGATGCTGAGACGTATCGACGAAACATTGTTTCATTTCGAAAAGATGGCTATACTGTTATGCTGAGTCACCAGGTGGACAATCCCAAGGGAGTGAAACTATTTTTGCTTGTAGTGGCACTTCTCGTGATGCATTTACTACAGCATATTTACAATCCCACAACATACTGCACAAATATGTTTGTATAGTACACTATTTATGAGTACCTCCGGTTAGCTACTTCCCAAGCCCCCAAATGTATTTTGAGACAGGATTCCAAGATTCTACCAAATTTGGTAGCGAATTATATCATTGGCGGATCATGAGAGATTTGACCTGCGTTAGCCATACATAGAGTGTCTACTGACACTCTGATCAAGACATGTCTTGTAATAACGTTACAATCCCCAGTAGATACCAGCAATCAGGAGTCCTCTGTGGCCTCAGCATGATCCTTGGATCATCACAGTGTAAGACCTGCTCTAATGTTTATAGCTAGCTACCATCCTCATATTAATTACGCGCATGCGCAGCGAGGGTTACCTGTCTGTCTATCCGTTATTACGTTTTCCGCCATCAAGCGAAAGAAATCGGCCAAAGAGCGATAGTAACGGGTTGAGTGTTACACAGGCTTGATTGTAAAACTACTGCGTTCTAGGGAGTGAACAAGCCAATATAATTAGCACAGGCTTACCTCGACCAGGTCCGCTTGCTCTGTGTATCTTGAAGGCACAAGAAGTCACAACGAAGGGCGTGTATCGACTCCCGCATGCTGTCTACTACTGTAGCTAGCCCGTGTCAGACTCCGCGAGCTACTAGCACGCAATCAGCCCATCAATTACCGCGCATGCGCAGTTCGCCGAGGATTTGCACTTTCATTATAATTATGGCAGAAGTCAATGAGCAAAGGCAAACGATACATCTACACCTAGGACTCGCTTTAAAGGACGAAGATTCAACTTACTGATAGCCATTGTACCTGTTTTACTGTCAAAGTTTCAAGTGTCCACACCTCATTGCTATACTATATATAACGTAGCTATGCATCTACAGCTAAAGACTAAAAGTCCCTGAAGTTACTTTGGGTTGAATTTGTCTGCTTGACTCTGTACAGAGGAGGCAAACACTGTTGGCTTTCCGTAATTTTTTGAGGCCTCAGAACTCATAACATCTTCCTTTTCCTTCTGCGTCGGAATGTGATCCCTGTTGATGTTCCTATCAGAAGCACTCTGTACTTGAGAGGCATAAGGAGTAGGCTTTCCATCATTCTGAGAGGCTGCAAAACTCATGACACTGGCCTTCTGCTCCTCAGTGGGAGGGTAGGATATTCCCACTGCAGGCTGGATGGGGTTGCTCTGATCAGCTGTGTTCTGCATCCGGGAGGCAAATACAGTTGTTTGACCATTGTTTTTCTGAGCCACTCATGATGCTCACCTTAGTTGGGTAGCTCATGATCTGATCGCAGAGGTTTATGCCAGGGGGTTTAGAGTCTGGATGCCGCTATAACACTGCAGTGTAACCTGTGTCCAAAACGCCACATTTTGTACTATTTCCTTGCAGTGTATTCATGCTCTTCTTGGTAACTGCACACGCCCTATAGATAGAGGTCCAGAGGTATGGGAACACCCAGGTCTGCTTGGGATCTTCGTGAATTATGACATTTATTCCCAGAGCTACAACTTGACATGAATCACAACAAGGTTGGTTATGGCAAAGTCACATTCTTCTAGGAAACTGTGTGGACTAACTTTATACTATTGAAAACAAAATAAGTCATTGTTCCATGTGTAATTAGACCATCATCTCCAGATGTTGGTGGGTCTAGTTTCGTGCAGACATCCTTTATCTTATCCCCCCATGGGTACAAGCGTCTATTTCCCCATTCCTTTTCTTTAGGTGCTGTTTACAAAACACAGATTTTCAATAACGTCACAAAACCTCAAAACAATGTGAACACCCTAAAAATAGCCGCACTGTTCTGCATCACTGTCATATTTTTGAAGCTTGCCATGAGTGGCAGTCACCACACCGGTTTCTCTCACTACTGTCTGGTGCTGCATCAGTCATATTATAGGGGAGTTGTTTTCTCAGACGGCAGCTATGCAACCAGCAACCATCATCTAAAGATATGCCTGACATTCTCTTTCACTGATGGTCACAAGCCCCTTTATCCGCTCGTCGTTTCCTTTAAGGTATACACTGTTTACACAAACACAGAGGTGACTTAAAGAAACAGATTAGCACAAAACGCCTCACTGCTCTATAGTTGTCTTTTCGCCGCCATGTCTGGTTTTCTGACTACTACCTGGTGCTGCATCAGTCTTCTTCTACCAGTGACTGTCTACCTGGTGCTGGGAGCCAGTAATACCAGCTGTTCTACTGCGTTTTACTACAACAACAACACCAACAAGTGTGAATGTGACGAATATTATTCGAGACACGGTTTGATTAACATTTGCAACCAAGAAACCGGAAGAGCTTACCTTAATACACAGATGTGTGCTTCATCGGCTGCAGATAATGACTCCTACTTCATTGGAGTGTGTCCAACACCAATGAAGAAACGCTACATTAGCAGGTTTTACTCTCTACTTCCCAGAAATCCTGCTTTGCTAACTGACGTCATGTGTGGACCTTACAACAGAGAAGGTTTGCTGTGTGGCAAGTGTATGGAAGGGTACGGTCATCCTGTTTACTCGACGAATTTAAAATGTGTCAAATGTTCATCAAATGATGTATTGAGCGTATTAAAGTACACTTGTGTTCAGTTCATTCCCCTCACAGTTTTCTTTATGATTGTTGTGATATCTCGTTTGAACATTACATCTGGCCCTCTCCTTGGCTATTGCCTATTTTGCCAGACATATTATGGAATGACTGTCGGGTGGTATCGATACATATTTGATTACCTTCATGACTACGCTTCTGAACGCATCCAATTTCTGATTCATATATCGCAGGTCATATCTGAACTATGGACCCTTCTTTTTTTTAAGTCAGTTATACCACCATTTTGTATCAGTGAGGCACTAAATGGAATCCACATTCATCTGCTTACCTTGGTTCCTGCAATGTACATAGTGTTCTTAGTCATCACATTGTGTTTCCTGATTCAGCTGAAAGCAAGAAACTACCGACCTATCCGTTTTATTTGGAAGCCTTTCGGTCATATCTTGAAGAGGTTGAGCACAAATGGAGTCAGTGGTAGTAATGCCATTATTCGTGCTTTTGCAACGTTTATTTTTCTGTCATCGACCACTATTGTGAACACTGTTGCTTTGTTAGCTATTAAAACCGATGTATATTCATCCGTCATTCCTCATAATTTCACAAAATATTTATTCATTGACACCACCGTCCCATCGTCTTTTCATGAAAAATCATTTATTGTTACGTTTGCATCTGTACCATGTTTTTTTCTGGTGCTCATCCCAGCCGTGTTACTCTGTGTCTACCCAACAAGGATATATCGTCGACTCTCACAACTCATCAGTGCCAGAAAACAGTTGGCCATCACCGCATTTGCTGAAGCTCTGCACAACTGCTTCAAAGATGGTCTGAATGACACTCGAGACTACAGAGCTCTTGCTGGACTGGTAATAATGGGTTCCCCTGCAATCAGCTTGATAGGATTAATCGTGTGGAGATTACTCTCTTTCACTGGTTTATACAGTCGTCACTGTGTTTCTGGCTACATACTATTTGCACTATCATTATTGATATCCTATGTGAGGCCCTGTAAGTCAACCCTGACAAACATATCACTAAGTTATCATGGTTTTATGCTTGGAGTCATTATAGTGTTTGGTCTCTGTGCTTGGGAAGATAACGAATTCAAAACTGAATCACTGGAGCTGACGTTTGTCATCATTCCTCTTGTTTCTCACATTTTAGTGCTCTGTTGGGCACTGTATGTTTTGTGCCGGTGGCTAAGGATCCACTGTTGTTCATGTATTCACATCACATTCCCTGGACCTTCACATTTTGGGAGACTTTTGTTGTGCTGGAGGAATGGCTACCAAAGTCTAAATTAACCACTATACAGTGTCGAAACTGAGTTAGCTTGTATTTAGAGACATAATGGCAGGTAGTTGCAGTTTCAATATGACTGTTTGTTTGCAAAACAAGTGTACTGTGTCAAAGCTGAATGCATTATCGTGAGCTAATGCAGATAGTATTGTGTATTGCTTACTCTCCATGTATAATTATAACTGTGCAGAATTGGCAAAATAATATGCTAATTACCTACCACAACAGTTTTTCACAGATGCATTGTTATTATCACATTTATGATTAGTTGTTTCAGATGCCACAGCGTAGCGACAATGTAGCTATATAATATAAGCCATTCCTTAAAGTCCATTATTAATGTGGCCATTGCTCGAAACCATTCAGTCATAAAATAATGAAAGGGCACTAAAGTGCAAACCCTCGGCGAACTGCGCATGCGCGATACTGCTAATTGATGGGCTGGGCTATTGGTGTATGCGTGATCTCCCGCTAGTAACTCGCGGAGAGTCTGACACGGGCTAGCTACAGTAGTAGATAGCATGCGGGAGTCGATACACGACCTTTGTTGTGACTTCTTGTGCCTCCGAGGTACACAGATAAAGCGGATGAGGTCGAGGTAAGCTAGTGCTAATTAGCATATTGGCTTGTTCATTGGTTTTCACGCCATAACTTCTGAACGCGACACTTTTAGGACAATCGCTATTTTCAAAATCAAGCCAGTGTAGCGCTGAACCCGTTGGTGTCGCTATTTTACCTGTTTGTTGCGCGTGGTGGCAGACGGACAGACGGACAAACTAAGTACTGTAAACCCTCGCTGCGCATGCGCGCCGAGGGTTAATAATATGGTCACCTCATAACCAATGTAGTTCCCAAACAATACATAGTTGTCATTTATCTAACTACTCATATCTACAGGAGTTCCTCTCCTAAGTATAAACTAAAGAGCTAGTGTTTCAAAGTTACAGTTTTTCATGTTGTAGACCTACTAATCAGGACTGGTTCTTGTCAGCAGCACTTTGGGCTCGTTTAGACCAGTCAGTGGCTTGGCCCTCAGTCTTCTTGCCCTCACTGGACTGTATCCTGGCTGCAGCCTCTTTGGTCATTGGGGTCTTATGTGGCTCTTTGTCCGACATGCTGGGGTCCTTGTGGTAGCTAGCTAGAGAGGGCTCACTTGAAGAAGTCTCTACGTAGACTTGTGGTCTTTCCAGTGCAGAGTGTAGCTACTGTAGCTGGAACTGGTAGTAGGCGCTGTTTTTTTTATAGATCCTCAACCATGCCATACCCATGAACAGTTAACTATGCATTTTTCTTGTAACCAGTAATGTTTCCACTATTGATGTCTTATGAATTGAGAGTGGAGTCATTGGTTCCAAAGAACAGACACACAAGAGGGGTGTAGCTAACTGAGGAATCTCTAGACAATACATAGTAGATGTTATTCACAAGGGAGTTACCTTTATGATACAATTCACATGAAATCTTTCTGTGCACACACTGCTATACTGAACAACCACCATGGAACAGTGACTACTGCATGATTTTAGCAGTAGAGGATCCAGCCGGTGTAGCTATAAGTTGTCATAACTCTGATCATCATGCAGTGTATGAGTTACAGCACTCTAGCTACGTATATCATGGACACTGAGTATTACAGCTACACTAGCTAACACACTAAACTAGCCATCATCGTTGTTCCAAAGGAGTCTGTTTGTCAAGGGATGACGCTGCCTACTTTCCGTGGTGCTGAGGGTAGTTTCTGTCTGCAGCACTCTGGGCTCTGCTGGACCAGCCAGTGGACTTCCCATCATTCCCCTTGTACTCCGAAGACATTATCCTCGACTTGGCTGCTTGGTCCATGGGAGTCGCTTTCTTGCCACCTTCAGACATAGCTTCCAGCCAGAATACCTGAGATTGACAGGTCTTAGATTGCAGTACAATACCACACTAGTCATGGCTTACTGTCACTTCTTCAGTCCTTGAATTGTTGGTTTTAGGAAAGTATGGCTGTAATACTGTAGCTCCATGAGCACAGGTTTTTTATAGCTAGCTGTTCCTGAGGTGATATCCCCGGGAAAATCCCTGCTATAGTGCATCATGTTAGCTATCAAACACCAAGAGATGTGTACCTATGCTGTGCCAAAATGACTCAGCATAATGTTACTGCTGTACTGGGAGATTCCCTAAAATATTCCCCTCATGTAGCTACAATGACACAGCTCCTGATTTTGAACTCGTGCTACTTTGTACGTGTACTTGTTCTTTTGTAGTACACCTAGTAGTGTAAGAGTAGGAGCTCATTTCTGCACCCTGTGTTGTAGTCTGTGTAGCTATGCATGACCATCCTGCAAGTGGGAGACATTCAAGCTCAGCCCAGCCTTTGTCTTCCCTGGTCAGCCTTGTAGTTTCCCAGTGGTGGGTTATATTACCCATCTTTATCTTTAGCTACTCATGTTATCTGAAAGAGTCGGTTCCATGATGACCCTAGCAATCTCTAACAAGAGCTCATGAATTCTTTATTTTTCATGGATGAGATAATGGTGTTTCAATAGACAGTTTCTTATCACAAATTCTACTCTTGGAAACTACACAGTAATAAAGTTTAACGTAGAGTCAGTTTTCCATGAAGTTGGTGAGCTAGAGTATAGTACACCAGCCGCCCTCATCTCCAGCTGTCCCACTACTGCCACCGGAGTAGTTCCTGTCAGCGGCACTTTGAGCCCTCTTGGACCAGTCAGTGGCCGTCCCACCAGTCTTCTTGTACTCCCTGGACATTATCCTTGACTTGGCAGGTTGGTCCATCTTCCCTCTTCCTGACATCTTATCAACCTTCTCCGAAAGGTATATACAGTACAGGATAAGTCCCTAAACTTGGCTGGCTTCCTTCAAACTAACCTGTTGAGCGTATATATAACGTGCCAGAAGTGACTGTCTTTAGCTGGTAATGTTGACCAGAGCTTGTGGCTACACTTTAATAGGATGAGCAGAAAGGGGAATACCCAGCAATTACAGCACTCTTGTAATCTTGTATGCAGCATTATCAACAATGGAATCTAACAGAAGTCTGACAAATGCAGCAAATATGTGTGTGAATGTCACATGTGGGATGAATGGTACACATGAATGTGCTCTCTATAGATGTGTCTATATCATTCTGCGGTGGTACTCTTGAGGTGCTGCGTCATACTCCACTGTAAACATCTCCTGGTTGGCCGCCACATACCTATACATCACAGAAAAGAAAACCCAACTTTAGCAACAGCAACTCAAAGAGATGGCTACACACCATCAACGCAATGGTTCCAAATTATGACTACACTTTAAGCCATTATAGGCATCCCTATTATACAACTGACTCACTTGAGGAAGGTGTGCATGTGAGACAGCAGGAGTGACATGCTGTCTTCCTCCATGGCTGTGAACGACAGCATTGGACCAATGCGAACTACAACACGGAAAACAACGAGATATCGGAGTATGAAACGCCAAATATTTATGCAGATCTGATGGATTCAGGTGTCAGATACTAGACCTAGACTCTTCTGCTGTAATTACACCGTATTTTGTGTCAACAGATTCAACCAGTTACTTTGCTCCGTGCAAGTAAGTGTAGCTACACGACTCTGCTATAATTAATAATTATTACTCAAAGAGACATAACCAACCAAACAGTCTGAGGAGGTGCTCCACGCCATAGATCTCAGCCATCGGAGTGTCTGGATGAGCCTCCAACATCTGCATGTCATGCATACACAGGGATTATGTACACCTTGCCAGGTCTGGGGCCAGAGTGCACCCGGAAGACAGAGCCCCCCTATATCCTCATTTGCCCCCCCCCTAAAAATGCTTGGCAGGGGACACTTTTACCCCCAAAAGAGTACCATACATAGTCAAAGTGTCTCCCTGGGAAGCATGTTAAGGCAGACAAATGAAGAGATACAGAGACTAGTCCCAGTCAGCCCTGATTGTGTACACGAGCACTATGACAGTTCTGAAAAGCATAAGTTCAGTGGCTCACATCTGCATATTGCGGTCTCTCAAACTTGTAGAGGAGCTGGGCACCAAGCATGGCATCGAAATACTCTCTCACTCCATCGCACACCTCCTTCATTTGCCCCGAACTGCACGAGAGTGAACACAATTAAATACATACAGTAACAGATGCATGTATAAAACACCAAACACAACACATTTGTATATACCCCGAATAAGGATTATGTTCACTCAAGTGCATTGTCCAGTGTGTCATATGAGAAAATTGCACCTTTTAGACAAGTATAGGTATGTGTATATTATTATTATAGTCATGTAAAGGAGATCATTTTGTCATGCATCTTGTGTATATACATAGCATATAAGACAGTGGAGGAATGGAACTATGTGTGTAAATGTCAAGTTCCAGTCTCTGTGCCACGGCGCTGCACTTTTACACAAGTACACGCTTTAGCCTAACTTGTGTGGTAGCAAAGAGGCAAGTACCAAGCTGCAACTACTTGCTGTTGAACCTGGTCTTGTCGGGGTCAGTGGTGGAGAGGTGAGAGGCATACTGCAGGAGAATGTCATTCACCGTCTGCTTCTTTGGCAGTCTCACCAGCTGGACAGAAAGATATCACCACTCAGTCGCTGGGACACATGCACTCTCGACACATGATTAATGCACACTGGGAAACATTTTTGGGAGAATTCTTACGCCATTCATGAATTAGAGAGGGGAATGTTCCACGTTTAACTAAACATAATTGTTTAGGAATTGAATTGTCTATAGAATTGCAGTTAAAGAGTTACACTGTATCACAAGTGAACACAACATAAACTGTGTATATATATACCCTGTTTCTGTCTGGTGACAAGGTCCCAGTCGTCTGCCAGCCACTTCTTGAGTTCCTCGGGAATCTCCACCTTTACCTCTCTCTCTGGAGTTGGGTCTCTCTGTTCAGAGACACAGAGCAACAACACCAACACTAGGCCACACACACCCCACACTTCACCTACTGTGGAGCTCTCTTGAATGTCGTGTCTTCCTCTCTTCCGTCGACCAGTCTCAGGTTCTATAATAATAAATGAAAATGTTTATTCAACACTATTGAAACGGAGGAAAAGGGAGATAAGAATATTATAAAGATCTACCAAAACTAAAAATACACAACATTATTGTATGCTCTGCAATATGCTCACCTCTTCTGGTCCTTTCCCTTTTCTTTGGCCTTCTCTTGCTGCACGTATGGAAGAACAAGTAAATGTGCTTCAGACTGGCCTCCAAAAGGCTCATGTATTATTAGCAAGCCAAGTGAGCCTACTACAGCACGTCGTGTGATGGATTCAGGTTAGACAATAAAGACGGGCACCGTCGCACACACCATAATGATATTTATTATATGCACACAGGTGTGACGTGTGCACATGGGACTCTCGCGTTTGCTTGCCAAATTGCATGCATTCGTGCTAGTTTTATAACTTATGTACTAACTCGGGATGAACCATTTGAAGCTCTTTCTGCTTTTGAAGGTTGGTCTCATTCCACTTGAGGATCCGTGGCTCCACCACCCACTCATCCCAACTGGGGATAGAGATAGTTAGTACAAGGTAGCTACAGTATGTACTAGCTGCCTAGTAGTGCCTCAGCTTACCTCCTGCTCCAGCCAGCATAATGCACCAGGAACTGCTGAGTCTTTGTCCTTTGTTTGTACCTTTGTAACCTGCACCATGGAAAAAGTCGAGACGTAAGCCAGTAAGATATTGCAGCATTCTAATTAACGCCCTCTTCTTATTTCTAGGCGCGGCATTCTCTGGCGCTTTTTATGCCAGGGAGAAACGAATGAACAGAAAACTAACCTTTGCTTCGTAGAGTAGCGGTCCGTGGTAGCATAAGACCCTCTCGTTCTCTGCGAACCTGTATTTTGGAGGCATTCTGACTTTCTGTGTGAAAACGACCACTGGGCCGTTCAACTCACGTTACGTAATGGGAATTTTGTGGACAGGTTAGGGTTTTCCCCAATACACTAGCCTTCCTTTTGCGGACACAGGGGGTTGCCCTAGGACCCAACCGTCGGCGACGTGACAGCTATATTGATATAGCACACACAGGCACAAGGAAAGCTGACCGACTCTCCGTCCCGCGTTGAGGTAAGTGTTGAGGGCCTTTTCTAACTATATGTGCGATGATCCCTGGCTAAACATCTAGTTCTACGGATCCTGTGTGTTAGTCTCTGCTGTCTTCAATTGATCAGCTAGTAGGACCATGTCTCACCACGATCAGCAAGTGTGCACCACGCTAGGCTACGTGTGGAGCACTCGGGACAGACTGGGATACGGAGCAACCGGCACTGTATACGTTGGATATAACAAGGTCAGTAAACTTATCTGTTTACTAGGGTGCTGACTGACTGTTTTGTATGATGTCCCATTTCTGTTTTTGTGAAAGTGGTAGTTTTGGTCCATGCTTTATCAATATGTTCCCATGCTTTAATTAACACACTGTCAGATTGACACAGTTCCCCCAATAGTTTAACCTGTCTGTGGCGAGTTCAAAGAGATTTCAGTTTTGGAGTGTTGACCATGGCCTGATTTTGAAGCTTCCGCATTGGGTGTCCTAGTATCTGTGTATTGTATGTCTGCACAGTCCAATGGAGAGAGGGTGGCGGTAGAAGGTGTTTTCTGGCTCGGCAGAGTTCAAGTCCCTCAAGAGGGAGATTGATGTTGTCCGTTCTCTCCCCAACCACGAAAACATTGTCATGCTCTTTGGTGACGAGGAGGAGGTCAGTATGTATGTAGTATGTATAGTATCTGCTCTACGATGTGTTACATGGTTTACAAGGAGAGTTCCTGGAACATAATTATTATACAGTTACATAACACCTGTAAACCGTGCATAATAACAGACATTTTTTGGCGAGCAAAGCAAGCAGTTCAATATTTCACTCCTGTTTTGAACGTATATAGAATCACGTAAAACATTACGATGTGTGCAGTGCCAGTCACCACATACAGCATTCAGATGACTATAGGTATAATTATAGGTATGCTCGCTTTGCTGCCCAATTAGTATACCTGCTAAGTCTGCCCATTACATATTGCATTCTTTGTAACATTAATTGTGTGCAGTCTCTGTGTATCTGTAGTAGCTTGTGCCATTTTGCATGTGCAAAAATGAGATTTAGTTCAAGATTAGTTGCTAATGCGGTTCCTGGTTCCTTGGGAATCGTAACCAGTAGCAATTGAGTAGTGCTAACATTTAACCATCTCATAATTATCCCTATGGTATGTAGGTCAGCAGCCTATAGTAAATTCTGTGGGTATAACAAGTTGTCAGTGCAAAAATTGACCACGTGTACAGTGGAACCTCCGAATAATGGACACATGTGGGACCGGGCATTTTGTCCTTTAAGGTTAAAAAGTACTAGTATGATGGAAAAGAGAACGTTTTGGGCCTCAAAGTGTGTGGTTTTTCCCCTATTGCGTCCTATATTTGGAGAGTCCTTTATCGGAGGTTCTACTGTATTTGGTCTGTGTTGGTTGTTGTGCAGGTGAAGTACAAGTACAAGGTGATCATTATGGAGCTGTGTACAGGAGGCAGTCTCTACGAGGTCATAGACTCTCCTGAGAATGCCTATGGTCTGGATGAACCTCAGTTCAAACAACTCATCTATGACGTAGGTCAGTTGCTGTTGAGTGGACTTTTAATCTTTTTATCACACTTGGATTTTGGTGAATATCATCCGTTCCCCCAGCTATGAGCCAGTATTATTGAGGCTAGGACAATCACATCATCTGGATTGGCTTTTTATCTCACTTGGATTTGTGTAATGGTTTTGTATGACCGGGAAAAAAACAGTGTTTAGGGGCTGGGACAATGTCCATGTACATAATTTATGTACCATACCGTCTGATGGTTGTCGGTTAATACCATGTATTTTTCTTGGTAATTGTGTGTAGCTGTGTGTCGTGTGTGTTAATTTCTGTGTGTGGTGGAGGCTGGGTGGTTGTTGTTGTGTCATTTCTCTCCTTTCTTCTTTGGCTAGTGTGCTACACGTACTATAAGAGATTTCTTCCCATGGTCATGTGGTACTGTACATATTTACCCAGCAAAGGGACTAAGTCATCTGCGAGCTCATAACTTTGTCCACCGAGACATCAAGCCTGGTAACATCATGAGATGTGGAACTCAGGATGGCAGGTTAGAGCCACATAACACTGTATGTGTACTTTCATAGCTAACACACTATGTACATTATAATGTGTACCACATATTTTTGCCACTTTACATTCTTATGGGAGATACACAGAGACCATTAAAGTCTTTTACAGCCGAATAAATACGTAATAAACAAGTTATGGCTCAAATAGACCTTCAAATTATCTTGCGTGGATAAAACGTTTTTTTAATGGCTTTTTGAACTGTCGTATTGTGAAGACATGCACACTGTCCCATGTTACAGCGTTGGTTAAACAAATTGC